TTTTCGGTAGTGCTTTTTTCGTTTTCTGTATATCGATTTTTTTGTAGTTTCAAGGTCAGCCCTGACAATCCGTCAAAATGAACGAAACTTGTTACTATGTTTTAGTGCTTCGTTAGTGCTTCTTAGTGCTTCAAATAGTTTCGAAAGTGCTTTTTTTATTTCTTAGATATTTTAGATTTTCACTTCAAGGTCAGCCCCCAAAAATTTTCCGAATTACCCAATTTTGGTGTCAGTTTTTAGTGCTTTGTTAGTGCTTCTCAGTGCTTCAAACAGTTGCATTCGAGAATATTTCCTTCTTGAGATATATAACTTTAAATTTTCAAGGTCAGCCCTCAAATTATATGGGATTGAGTTGAACCTAGAGTCGTTTTTTTGCGCATCGTTAGTGCTTTTTAGTGCTTTATATAGCTTTCTTAATGCTCTTTCCGTATTCTGATTATTTAGTATTTTTTATTTTAAAATTAGCACCCAAACTTATTCCAAATGTACAAAAAACACAGGAACGCCACTGAAGCCAACATCGGTTCATAGCAAGGATGATACACCAAATCACCAGTTGTGACGTAGGCATGTCCTTTCTCGGATGGACGTAGGCCTTTTGCACTACATGTTATGATTCCGCGGGCTTTGGCTTCATGCATACTTGGTTTTATTCACGGTTTTACTACATTAATAATTAACATTCTAAAACAACCCTTTATTTAGATCTCGTTTTCATCTTCCTCTTTGCCTATTATATTGATCAATATTAAACAATATTTTTTTATCATAAAGGATAACGCACACCTAGCATGGGATTTTCGGGCTCTATGGATTTTGCTCATTTTTTGATATGTTGTAGAGGATTCAATTCTGAACAACCTTTTAATGGAACGAAATCTTGTAGGTATCACGGTCTTTGAGATATGAGCGTTGGAAGATGAACTTTTTTGCAACTTTTTGTGTGGAGAGTATACGAAAAACTAGTGTTTATCAGTCAAAATTTTGACAGGTCGACATATTTCACGTCACTAACAACATAGGCCGCACTGGTGCCAACATTGACTTTAGTGCGTTCCCGGCCTTAACATATGTTGACAATAATTTTTAGGTGACGTAAAATATGTTAACCTGTCAATATTTTGACTGATAAACACCAGTAGCACCAGTATCTCGTATATTCTCCACACAAAAAGTCGCAAAAAAGTTCATCTTTCAACGCTCATATCTCAAAGACCGTAATACCTACAAGATTTCGTCCCATTTAAAGGTTGTTCAGAATTAAATCCTCTACAACATATCAAAAAATGGGCAAAATTCATAGAGCCCAAAAACCCTATGTTAGGTGTGCGTTATCCAATTTGACTTATTCTAAGCTACGACCTCCAGTACGTGAGTTTTCGGCGTAAATTGCCATAAGTAGCTCCATTTCTCTTTCGGAGCTCCCCTACTTATGTTGTCTGCAGTCAAAAGCTGTGCCAGAATATAACCCAGGGCTGGAATCACGACAAGTAGAATTCTACTAGAATTCTACTTTCATGACGTCAGGTTGCCTAGCAACAGTGATGATCGCCTGTAGTATACGCGATAAATAGGTCGCGGGTGACGTCATGAAAGTAGAATTCTACTCGTCGTGATCCCAGCCCAGGAGTCGTATTATATATCGAATATGACACAGGTATCAAATTTACTGATACTGACTTACTGATAGTGAAAAATATGCCATTTTCCAACTTGTAAAGTGCGGTTCCTCGTTGGGCGCTATTTAATGACAGAGCCATTCTGTTTAAAACAAAGGCGAGTTACCCCGGAGTGAGATGCTCCGGTGCTAAAAAAGCGCCAGTCAAAACTGCGTCTGAACGAACGAAATAGCGCCAGCTAAAACAGTGACCAATTAAAATAGCCCTTTCCAAAACAACTAAATAACCATAAAAGAGAGAGATAGAGAGCGCACCGGCACCTGATTTCCTCCATACTATAAACCAATGTTGGCTCCAGTGGCGTCCAAGGTGGCGTCCTTGTGTTTTTTGTACATGTTGGAACAAGTTTCGGTGGTAGTTTTAAAATAAAATCAGAATACGGAAAGAGCATTAAGAAAACTATCTGAAGCACTGAAAAGCACTAACGATGCGCAAAAAAATGACTCTAGATTTAACTCAATACCCATATAATTTGAGGGCTGACCTTGAAAATTTAAAGTTAAATATCTCAAGAAGGAAATATTCTCGAATGCAACTGTTTGAAGCACTAACGAAGCACTAAAAACTGACACCAAAATTGGGTAATTCGGAAAATTTTTGGGGGCTGACCTTGAAGTGAAAATCTAAAATATCTAAGAAATAAGAAAAGCACTTTCGAAACTATTTGAAGCACTAACGAAGCACTAAAACATAGTAATAAATTTCGTTCATTTTGACAGATTGTCAGGGCTGACCTTGTTGACCTCTGTTTGATTCGAATCCAATTGTGAGAATTTTTCAATTGGTTGGGCATGCAGGAAAAAATAGATTCCTGAGCGGCGTAAATAGCGTAATAAATAATTGCCTTTAGTAATAGATCGGCTACCAACGTAATAGCGCTGGCAACGCTGTTCAGTTCAAGAATAAAGACCCAAGAAAGTGGTGACTTGGAATGCCAAACATTTTTCTAGGAGACTATACCTTCTCGTCAAATATGCTTCAAAAAAGGTGATCAAATTTTTTCCGGGGTGAAGTTGAAAAAATTATATGTATATGCAATATAAACTGATTTATATGTTTTATAAGAAATATAGCTTTTTTTTTAAATATTTTATCGTATTTTTATTAACTTTGAATAGGTGTCCACAAGTGTTCCTCGGTCGACCTAATATTGGGGTACATTTGGCCATTTGCAGCTGCAGCCTTATTTTAAATTGAGAATAAAATATTTATTTTTAATATAAATAGGTACTTTCAGTCCCAGATACTTTATACGTAAAAATTTGAAGTTGATATTTGCTTAAATAATTTATTAGATAGGTACCTATTTTGATAAATATTGGTTTTAAGCGAAAAAAAATTAAAAGCGTCCCAATGTGCCCTCTTCTCCCCTACATCCTGAAAAGAATATTCTTGTTTGATTCTAGGGATATACGGTATCCGCCAAAATAAACAGTACTGAAATCTAAAGCAATTGCGCACGCAAGTTGCATTTATCGTATTTCGCTTACTTGTTATTAGTTATCAGTTTGTCATTACGTTAAGGCGAAAATCTTCGTCAATATATGGCTCTTTCCAACTGAAGAAAAAAATTTCTTAGTAGAGCACTATTTCCGGTCATACGGATTTGGAAGAAATAACGGCCGCAGTTCAAAACAAGTCTCAGAAAAATAGCCAGTACTTGGAATGTTAATTTTGGCATCCAAATAATGCTCTTTTTTAATTAGTAGTTAAATATATGCTTCCTTTCCCTTTCACCTTTCACATTTCAATATATTTCTGAAAAGCTAGTGAACGGAAATTTTTGAAACTTCTGGGATGAAAAGAGGAAAGTTCGGAGCTCATTATCCAAAAATGTCAAAATTGATTCAGTAAATAACAGCAGCAAGAGAAATTCATGAAAATCAACTTTCAAAAATTAAATTGAAGAAAAAGCACTTCAAATTTCAATAATTTTTTGAAAAACTAGTGTAGGGAAATTTTTGGAAGTTTCCTGATGAAAAGAGAAAACTTACGAGCTCATCATACTAAAATTTCAAATTGATTTAGTGAGAAACAGCAACAAGAGAAATTCATAAAATTCAAGTTTAAAAAACCAAGAAAATGCACACTCTCACCTCACATTTCAATACATTTCTGAAAAACTAGTGAATGGAAATTTTTGAAACTTTTGGGATGAAAAGAGGAAAGTTAGGAGCTTGTCGCATACTAAAATTTCAAATTGATGCAGTGAATTCATGAAAATCAACTTTCAAAAACGGAATTAAAAAAAGTCATCCTTTCACATATCAATAAAATTCTGAAAAGAAAAATTAGTGAATGAAAATTTTTGAATGTTTTCTGATGAAAAGAGAAAAATCAGTAGCTCATCACATTAAAATTTCAAATTGATTCAGTGAAAAACAGCGAAATTCATGAAAATTATATATATAGGCTCTTCGATTGCATATATGGCCTTTCAAAGTAAATAGAGTAACTTACGTAACGGAGTCGAGTTTTGTATTTGCAAAATTTAGTTGATTTTTCATCAAACAAATTTTTAAAAATGTTGTTTGCTCCAAGCGTTCGGTTTATTTTCACGCTCTTTTGACTCCGATACGTAAGAAAAGACTCTGCTCTGGGTCCACTCCAAATACTCCAATTTCATATGTTGGATATTTGCACTCTGTTTGGAGTGATCAGCTATGGAAAAGCCATAGGGAAAAGCCAACCAAAATATTCCAATAGCGCTTGAAAAATTTTGAAAATGTTTGATAAAGTGTGTTTTTTTTAAAAAGATAAAAGTCAAAATGACATTATGTTGGCAATACAATGTAAAATTGTCGATGCTTTCAAATTTTTTATGTAGAAAAGGCTTGTGTTGCCAACATAGTTACTAAATTTTTGACTTGGGGAATTATCTTTAAAAGAAAAACAGAGTTTAGAATGAACCGGCTTTACAGGGTAGCTCTCGGATTTCTGAACTTGGAGCAGATATAATAATGTTATCCATTTGCAATTTCAGGTTTCTAAATTGAAACTCAAATAACAAAAACAGATTACTACTGCAAACTGCATAAAAAATTTACATCAGGTCTTTAAATATAAATCCAAAGCTCAAGTATTATTTTTAAACTTGTGCTCGGAGTTGATATTAGAGCTGGGGCGATCAAATTACAACAACCCGTAAATAAAAGAAAGCGCCTCACGTGCTCGACAAATTGACTTTGATTTGACACTGACAGGTCAGTGACAGTGATAAATGGATTGGGCTAGAGGGTGAAGGAAAAAATGGTGATAAAAATGTTTTGATTATAATTTAAAAAACCCTCTAGCAATCAATTAAAAAATAAACTAGTAAACATGGCAGCTACGATGGCATCACAAGAGGAAATATTAAAAAGCGAAATCGAAAGACTGACCAGAGAACTGGACCAAGCCAGTAGCGAAAAAGTTCAATCTGCCCAGTACGGGTTGGTACTTTTGGAAGAAAAGAAGGATTTGCAACAGAAATGCGAGGAATTGGAGTCGTTGTACGAGAATGCCAAGCACGAATTACACATAACACAAGAGGTAATTGGTTTATTTTAAGGGTTCTTTTCTGGGTTTGCTGCTGTGGCAAAAAAATTTCACTTTATAATGTGATATCATCGGATATACCCTAATTACTTTCAGGAGGTTTGTGTAATAGGTTCAATGAAGCAAAGAATTCGTAATAGTATGCAATTTTTGAAATTTATAGGTATTTACTCAGGTATTTATTTTCATTTGTAGTTCTATTTTTATGAAGGTAAATCTGCCCATACCTACACTTCAGGGCTACCACTAAGTCCTGTTAGTGTTAACTAAGTAGTAAAGGTATTCTATTATTTACAAATTACAAAGAGGATACCCAAAATTTGGGCCATAAAGTAAAATAATTAATTTTGTACAAAAAAAAATCAAAAAATCTCTTATGTCAACAATTTTATTTATTTTTACTAGCTGTAGGTACCCTACATGCATTTTTACAAACTAACCCATGCGTCACTTGTGCATTTTTCCGGGATGCAAAGTAGCCCATAACACTCCTTTATACATATAGAGACTACATGGTAATTTGAAAAAGATCGGTTTAGCGGTTTCCGAGTCCATCAACAACAAACAAACATTGATTATATATTAGATTATTGAATTGTTAAAAGTACAAACCAAGGGGTAAACCACCATCCCAGAATTTGTGCAAACCATTCCTCAAAGGGGAATTTTTTACGCATAATTCTTCAAAATTCCTCCAAACTTCCCACAAACTCCATCAGACACCCCATTACAAATTTTTCCAAATACGCCACAAATTTCTCTAAATTTTGGTGCTCCTTTGAATAATGACCTTTTTGCCGAACTTCAAGACCGCCAGAACCGTGCAAACAATATTATGGTCTATAACCTGCCAGAGCAAAATCAAGACCACAATGATGTTATCAGCCTCCTTGAGTCACTAGACATACCTGATGCTGTAGTGAAGAATGTAGTGAGAATTGGACAACCTAACAAAAATGGTCGTAAGTGTCTCAAAGTATCTTTTCAAAAGCAGGAGGTTGCTCAACTTGCTGTTCGCTCTAGATCCAAACTCAAGGGCAAAAATATCTATGTTAACCCGGATTTAACCAAAACTCAGATCGAAGCTGAAGCAAGGATGAAGACTGAACTTAGGCAAAGATTATCCAACGGAGAAATTAATTTAAGAATCAAATACTTTCAGGGTGTTCCTAAAATCATACAAAAAAACTAAAACAAACCGAGCCTACAAAATTTTTTTCTGTATATTACCAGAACACCCAAGGCTTAAGAACCAAACTAAGCTTAATCCAACAAAATATTTTGGCCTGTCATCACGACATATTTGTTTTAACTGAAACATGGCTGCACAGTGGCATATATGATGCCGAACTCAATTTCACTGACTTTAACATCTATCGTCAGGACCGTTCAACTAAAACCAGTGTTTTTTCAAGAGGGGGTGGAGTTCTAATAGCAATTCACAAATCTATACCTAGCAAACGGCTTGATGTTGCAGATAACATTGAACAAGTTTTTGTGGCTATTGGATCTAGCAATTCTAATTTAATCCTAGGGGCAATTTACGTCCCTCCTAATTCACCAGTTCAAGTATATACTACATTTTCTGAAACCTTGGATACACTTGCACTTCAGATGCCTAGTTCCACTCTACATATTTTTGGTGACTTCAATTTACCACACGCCTCATGGCAGATTGACAACCTTAGCTCCTCTGCGACTGCAACTGTGCCTCTAGATACTGCTCGTGTTGAGGTTATGTCAAACATCTGTAACTTTCACAACTTGTTCCAAACTAATAAATATTTAACATCTCATAATAGCCTCCTTGACCTAATTCTTACGCAAGACTTTTCAACAGAAGTTAGACCTGCTGACTGTTTCCTAGTTCCTTTTGTGGTTCACCCACCTTTAAGTGCTACCTTGAAGGCTTGCTGTTCGGACACTACTGAAAAAGGTCTTGACTTTGACGGTTTTTATAGAGACTTTAATTCTACCAATTTTCAGGATGTTGTTATGTTTTTAGATCAATTTAACTGGGACTTTTTATTATATAATCAAACTCTTGATACAATGTTAAATATTTTTTATGAAATTATCTACATTGCCATAGATAAATTTGTACCTTTAAAAAAATTCTCTGCCAGAAAATTTCCGTTTTGGTTTTCAGTTGAATTAAAAAACTATGTAATTCTAAAGAAAAAAGCTCATAAAAAATACAAGTCCTCTCGTTCTGATGTGGATTATCGTGAATTTTCTAGGTTGAGACATCTCTGCAAGAACTTGACACATGAATGCTACCAGGACTATGTTCAGGGGACTGAAAGGGCTATTAACTCCAACATCAAAGAATTTTGGTCTTTTGTTAACAAAAAAAGGAAAAGCAATGCTTTTCCTAGTGAACTTAAATATCAGGACAGGTCAAGTTGCTCTGGTAAGGAGATTGCTGACATGTTTGCAGATTATTTTTCTACAGTTTATTCAAACAATAATCATGATATTTCTACACATGAGTTACCTACATCCATAGTCCATATACCAAAGCATCATATACTAATATCTGACATATTCACCAAATTATCTACGTTAGATATCAACAAAGGCCCTGGTCCAGATGGAATACCAGCCATACTTCTAAAAAACTGCAGTTTTAACCTTTCAAGGCCCCTTTACCACATTTTCAACCTGTCACTATGTACTGGCGTTTTTCCAGAGTTTTGGAAGGAAAGCTTTCTCAAGCCCATCTTTAAATCCGGAGATAAAACGTTGGTAACCAATTACCGACCCATTAGTATTATCAGCACAATCCCTAAAGTTTTTGAGAGCCTAGTATGTGACTTTTTAACCCCCCTCTTAGAACCTAGATTAATTAATGAACAATTTGGCTTCAGACAGGGCAAATCAACTGAATTAAATCTTTTAACTCAAGTGGATTATCTGTTGGATGCCTTGGAGAGGGGACTTCAAGTGGATACAATTTACACTGACTTCTCCAAGGCATTCGATAGGGTCTCCCATACCATGTTATTACATAAGCTTAAGTTGTTTGGGATTGATGAACCGTTGATCTCATGGTTTCACAGTTATTTGTCTGGTCGGGGACAGATTGTTAAAATTGGCAATTTCCTCTCCAAAATCATTCAGGTTACCTCCGGGGTGCCACAGGGGTCCCATCTTGGGCCACTTCTTTTTAATGTCTTTGTAAATGATATTCACGAATGTTTTACCGTATGTCTTTTCTTGTTGTTTGCCGACGACCTCAAAATTAGCTGCATAATAAGAACTCCTGAAGACTGTGACAAACTACAGTACGATCTTAACAGCCTTCAAGATTGGTGTATGGGAAACCTCATGGATCTCAACCCTTCTAAATGTAAAGCCATTACATTTTCACGTCTTAAAAATCCTATTAAATTTAATTATAAAATTGGCCAACACATCCTTGAGGAAGTTTCCATTATCAGAGACCTTGGTGTGTCTTTAGACACAGATCTTTTCTTCACTAATCATTTAAACAATGCAATAAATAAAGCTTTTCAAATGCTGGGTTTTATCAGAAGGACTACACAAGATTTCACCAATGTTACAACCTTAAAGACTTTATATTGTGCCCTAGTACGCCCTCATCTAGAATATGCCTCTTGCGTCTGGTCCCCCGTTTATGTTGTACATCGTGATTCTGTACAACTTGTTGAACACAAATTTTTGAAACAAATTGCCTTTAAACTGAATATTTTGAATAATTATAATGATTCACAACTACTTTCTATGTTGAATATGGCCTCAATAACTATGCGTCACAAGAGGAGAGATCTTACAACATTCTATAATATCCTACATGGGAAGGCTTCGAATCCCGAAATTCTTCACAAAATTAGCATTCATGTCCCTCCTAGAACCACCAGGTCGAATGACAGTTTTCATATTCCGATTCATCGAACTAATTACGGACGCAATACTTTTATTTCCTGAACAGCTAGACTTGCAAATGAGCACCATGAGATTGACCTTTTTGCCCCCTTGAGCATTTTCCTGGGTCAAGTTCGTCATACTTTTAGGTAGTTGTTAGAAAACTTTTATCATAAATTGCTGATCCCACCTTTTATAACTTTATTGTACCTACTAATTATTATTTGATTTTTACCTAAATCTACTAGTCCAATCTACGTATCTAGCCTTACTCATTTCTCATCAAGTTGCAGGGCTGTTTGTTGTTGTTATTATTTATTTATTTATTTATTTATTTATTAACGTATCAACATTTACAGGTTTACAAGTGAACTTAAACTAACTAACCTAAAACAGCCCTTTTTGCACAACTCTTAAATTTTTTATGAGAAACATTAAAAAATTCTAATGACTCACAAAACTTATTCACATTCGCTGATACTCTGTTAACAGGACTATACAATAAGTACCAAGAATTACAAATTGGTATATGCATCAAGGTCTGCCTACGTGTTGGATATCCAGGTACACGAAATCGAAAAGTTTCCAAACATTCTGGACTCTTGATATAGTAGTTCAGAACATTACATGCAAAGCATATGTCATAGTATTCTCTTCTGCGAACAAGAGATGCTAAGTCTAGGTATAACATAGTCTGATCATTATCAAGTTCAATACCATTGCAAAAAAGTTTATATTTAGCATATTTTATAAATTTAAGTTGAACATTTTCAAGTCTATTTATATGAACCTGATAATATGGCGACCAAATTATGTTTGAAAATTCAAGGATGGATCGAACCAGCGATGTATACAACACCTTCAGAGCAAACACATTCCTAAAGTCTTTACTGGTTCTTTTGATAAAACCTAATATTCTATTAGCCCTACCTACTATATACTCAAAGTGCTCGATGAACGTAAGTTTAGTGTCCAAGTAAACGCCAAGGTCCTTAACAACAAATACCTCAGCAAGAGCAACGTGATTAATGGAATATTCCACAGGTATAGTATTCATCAAGCGGGTGAAGCGCATAAAGCAGCATTTGTCGATATTAAGTGACATG